TATAAAATTAGCAGGGATAACTTGGACTCGTATAGCCAACAATAAACAACAATTGGGTCCAATTACAAAGAGATTCTCTAAATGTGTAAGTGTGAATAAGTTGGAAATTATGATGATGATAATTATATGATTTTATACTATAATCTTGATTATAAAATAGTACAGATAACACTAGGTATTCAGTATTTTCTTAAAATATTAGTATATTTAAAATTAAAATACTTTTCACGTTTAAAAAAACGGCGCCCAGTTGGTTTAGAAATGACGATCGATGACATTCCCCATAGAATTTTACCTTTGAATAAGAAGACTAAGGAAGGAGCAAATCAAAAATCTTAGGTACACCGCGATGGGCCTCAAATATGGCCGACTTAAATTCCGCTTTATCAGTGTCGTTCTAATTTTATTTAAAAAATGTAAAACTATGATGTAGGGTAGACGTGGGGTAGACTCAATAATTTGTTGTTTTATTTTACGTTGTGAATAAATGTTGGTAGTTATTAAAATTGTTATAAAAATATATAATTCTAATAAAAATAGATAAGTTATAATAAGTATTTATGTCAAACAACGTATGTCAATTCTTTGACACCTAGATCTTTTACAAGTGCTTTTTAAAAGCCACCATGCAAGAAAACATGGAATTTATGTTAATTCCTTAGTCTTCTTTCATTCAAATGATCGGTTTATATAAAATGACTACACGATCTTCATTTCATAGCCATCGCTGAAAAGTTTTTTTTCCAATTATTGTACTCACATTTCTTTTTAAAAATAACCGGATGCAACTGTCCATTAATCTTCAGGTGTTTTCCCTTTTTTTCCGTCTCTTTTAAAGAAAAAAATGTCGGAAAAGATGTTCTTTACGAGCGACAGATGTTGCGTTCTGAGAGTAGACAGATTACAAAGTATAAAAAACTATCTCAAATTACCCACAGATTTCTGCTTTTGGGGATTTAAACTTGCCGTTAGAGTTTTATGTGTTTAGTTTAAAAGAAATTCAAAACGGAAACTCATTTTTATGAATGAAACGTTTTATGATCTCTGTTAAATTAACACAGTTTTTATTAATAGAATTAAATCTATTATATCTAATTATACATATAGATATACAGGGTGGTCCGAACTGTATTCCTGAAACTTCGGCGGTATATTCTGCAGATAAAAATAAACAAAAAAGTTCGAATAAATGTATGCCCTTAAATGCTTAGTTTCGGAGATACAGGGTGTAGAAGTGTCATTTTTATATCGATTTTTTTCAAATAATTTCTGAAGTAACGTCAATATTTGGATGAAAATTGGTGTCTGGGAGTTTTTTGACATTACAAATTTGATTTTGATGTCAATATAACTCCTATCTGTAGGGGGCGCCACCTACATGTGTTTTAACTTTTTTGAAGAGTAATAACTTTTCGTCCATACCTGTATAAAACTGCCGAGTGAAAAAATATACATTTTCGTGACGTTTTACGTAAAAAATGTCTCTTGGTAAAAATCGTTACGAGCAACCGTTCTCAAGATATTTAGAATGGAAATAGTCAATACATATCATTATTGACAAAAAATAAATACGCGTTGAGTATAGATAGTTATTTAACTGAAAATTTCACACCTCTACTTTTCAACCAATAACATGCTTTAATGTTGACTAGTTACCATGGCAACTGAAAAAATTTCCGGAAATTTTTTCGAGGCGCCACGAAACTTTAGTGGAAATTTTTTGACAGTTGAAAAGGTAAACATAAGATCTACAATCATAATGTGAATGAACTACAATGTCTATATATTGAAATATTACCCATTTGAGTTTTAGCATTTGATGTAACTAAGGTTGGTAATATTTTTTATTTAAGGAAATATGTTAGATATACCTACATATGAATTTCTTCGAAATTGCCATGTTCTAAAAAAATATAGTTCTGCCGCCTTTATTTAACTAAAGCTGGTATTTTTCTATTTAACGAAACATGATGGATATATCTATATGATTTTTTTAGAATTTATTTCATGTTGAATTATCTTCAATGCCAAATCTTTAATGATATCGACTAATATAGCAAAATAATAACGAAACACATTTTTCATCACAAAATTCAACAAACTGTTTCCATACACTTGATTTTGATTTTCGGGTGTTATCTGGTTTTATATTTTCAATTTCTTCTTTAATGACTTGTTGGTTTACTTTTCCAAATCGCGACATTTCGCTATACACTTCTTACTCTACGTACAGACGTTTTAAAACTAGTAATAGCTTAATGACAGAATCGCAAACAAAATGACAAAACACAATATGTCAAAACATCAATACCTTGGCCAACTTAACAAATTGAAATTATTTTAAAATGTCATGTTGGATTAATATTTTTTCAAATTTAGGTGTGAAATTTTCTTACCGAATACCACGCAAGCTTAAATTATTCCTGGAAATTTTCTTTCGGGCACGAATATTTTAGGAAAATTATCCCTCGTCTTCGACTCGGGATAATTTTCAAAATATGCGTGCCCTCAAAAAAATTTCCGAAAATAATTTAAGCTCTTGTGATATTATAAGTGAAATAATAAATTTGGGAAATTTTTATTTTTTTAAATTAAACATAAACTTGACTGAAAAAATGAGAATCAACCAGTTTCTGTTGAACTTTTGACAAAAAAACATTTCAAGCTGCAAGTAGGGATTATATTGACATCAAAATCCAAATTTCTCATGTCAAAAAACTCCCAAACACTAATTTTCATCAAAATATTGACGTTACTTCAGAAGTTATTTGGAAAAAATCGAAATAAAAATGAAACACACTGTATATCCGAAACTAAGCATTTTAGGTCATACATACATTTATACAAACTTTCTTACTTATTTTTACCTCCAGAATATGCTGCCGAAGTTTCCGGAATACAGTTCGGACCACCCTGTATATTTTTGAAGTCAATTTGATCAAACTAAAAAATAATTAGTACTGTCCTATAAAGGGTTAATTATATTATCTTTGTATTTCTTCTGACTCACGAGATCCCTGTACTTCTTACATGGGACACCGAGTATATACTATAGACTGGCACGACAATGTCTAAATAACGTTATTTCCTAAACTTGTTGAAGCACTTCATTAATGACAATCATCCTAGACAATCCCAGTAAATGCACAATTATATGCATACAACCAGATGAAGATAGATATAGATACGAAAATAATCATAATTTAAAATCACTGAATATTTTGTCTTAAATAATTTGATACATAGGTATATTCTGTGAAAAATATTTTGGATGGATATATACATATAGTTTAAACAGAAAATAACAAAAATAATAGATTAATGTTCGTTTTCAAACTTACCGTAAGGAAGACAACTTAAAATGAAGAATTAATCCAAAGAAAGCCAGATTCCTACTTGAACAAAAATGCAAAATAAATATTCAAGTAAAACAACAACAACAATAGTTGACAAGAAAAAGTTTTTTACACACTTTTCGACCGGCGCCGTTTTAAAAAACAAAATAAACAGCCAGACGAACTACCTCGCGACGTACCCAGGTACTCGTCTATACACGTATGTCTTCTACCGAGCCAGCAAAACGACACACTAATCCGCCATCTGATCATATTCTTCGGTTGTTCCCGCTGTTTGTTTTCGTGACCCTGGAAAGGCGGAGGGCGCGCGCCACTGCTTTCTCTTTGCGCCTTTGAAAGGGCGTAGAGTGCGGTACGGCCCCAGCCGGTGGTACCGGTGATGCACAGTGGGACGAATATCAAAATTACCGGACAAAAACTGTTTTACAATCCTGACACAATTCTTCTGTATACAGGGTTGTTAATCACATACGACACGGAGTATTGTAGCTAAACGATTAGATTTTTACAAATTGTAAGTTTTGGCTTCGTTGAAGAGAGCTATTAGAGCTACAATTTAAAAATAATTTTACGAGATACAGGGTGTCCAAAATAAGTAAAAAATATTATAGTTGTATTTTTTAAATCAAACACCCTCTATATTATTCTATTTTTAGATTCTACGATTTTCAATTTTATGAAATTGCAGTAAAAATTTTAAGGTTTCATTTCTTCAAGGGCATCAAAGTTTTTAATACTAAACATTTACTGAAGTTTATTTATTAATCAGATATTGTGTTGCAATAATAAACAAAATAACTTGTTTAATTTAAATGGAACACGCTGTACATTTTACGAGAATCAGATGCATAATTTAATTGTCTATCAAATTATTCTATTATACTATTTCTTACCTATCTCTTCAAGTTTTTGTAGAAAATGCATTTTCTTATAATTTAGACTTCATTTATCACTATACCTATGGAATATTGACATTTTAGATTATTTTTAGAGATGTAATTCATTAATATTTATTTTAATATTTCCAAAATCTTTCATTCTTTCTAAACAATAATCATATTTTGATTTTTCGCCAGATGCATAGTTTTTGCTTAAAAAAGTCCTTTTGCTTCACGGTCCATTAGCTAAAAATAAAAACGCGATAAATATATACAGGGTGCCCTACTAAAAAATACAAATTTAATGTATTTCCTTCAATTTTTTTATTCCTTTTTTCAATTAATCTAGAACATATACGTATTTGGAACAGATATAATGAAGATATAATAAAATAATAATTGTTATGAATTAGATAATCCCTCGAGTTAATGCAGGGTTATTTGATTTTATATCCTATTTTTAAAAATTAAGATATTTGATTTTTTTAGTGTAAACCATAGGCAACTCTCTAAACTAAATTTTTAAGATTATTAGGCAACTAGTAATATCTAATATCTTCAATTTTTTAAAACCTAACCCCAAACTTTGGAACCAAAACATTAAAAAACAAAACTACTGGCTAGAATTGGAAAAGTATGTATTATATTTAAATTACAGTTACGGTATTATTAATTGTTATACCTCGTAGTTATTCCGTTATTTACATTTCGTCTAAATGAACAAAAAACTTGACTACACTCAGAGGCCTAATCAGAGAGCTTCTGATATGCTGTACCTGATCAAACCCTGAAGAACAATTTATCATATCAATTTATCATGTCCCAGTACAGGAAATACAAAACAACAGATCAGCAATTGTGCAAAGCTTAAGTATGTATAGTAAGATATTAATAAAAATATGTTTTTAAAATGGCTCTACAAAAAAACAACTATTTTAATCACAAAGTCTAGCATTCTTGTTTTTAAGCTGTTTACATTTACTAAATATATATTTTCTTTAATAAATAGGGAAGAAATGGAATTTATGGCAAACACATACTTATGCTACCTAAAAGTTCTCGATTATCTCATGAAATCCAGGCAGAATTTCATGGTAAAGGTGAAAGAACAGTAGATGAGAGACAGCAAGAATGGTGGGATTCAAATTGCCTCACGATCCTAAGTGAATATATGTAAGAAATAAGACATACTGTATCATAGTCGCATTTGCAATGGTTTTGCATGCTTGTAAATAATTCATTTTAGAAATATAGTGACCACAAGTAAGTCAGTTGTTTTATAAATTTATTTATAAGCAAATTTAAACATTTTTCTGCTATAATAATCTTTTGCTATATTCTTTTTTGAGACTTTGAGACCTACCCAAAACTTTTTGAGACTACTGATAAATATCTTAGAATATTTAAATTTTCTGTTGATATATTCTACATAATTTTGAATATTTCAGTGTATTAAAAATTTATTTTATCTATGAGCTAATTTTAAATTGGACTTAGTAAAGGGTTATTAAATAGCAAGTCATTCATATTATCAGGTTAATTCATAAAAAATATATTGGAAACATTGTAAATAATACAGGTTATGTATATAAACAGGTATATAAAAAACAGATTTATGAAACTTTATACAAATTCAATTTAGAATTTAAGTTAAAAATTATAACTATTGTTTGTACTGCTTCTCAATTGATTTTGCTATTGTTGTAAGTTGTATATTGCTGGTTCCTTCGTAAATGCTACCTATTTTTGCATCCCTGAAATTGAAAAAACGATATTTACAAAAAAGGTTCCAGAAAAACGAATATTCTGATATCTGTGCTAATATTAAGAACTCAAACTTTACCAGAATTTTTTTCATCATCGTGAACGATATTTTCACAGTAATTAAAAAGAAAAAAATATATTTTTAATAATATACCGGGTGTTGCATCGTCGAGCGGCACATAGGAAATCCCATGTAAATTTTAATGGGGTCAATTATTGGCTTCCCTAATTATTTTAGAGAATAATTCTATTTAGGTTTATTGAAGAGCACTAAAACCCACATTGAAAAGAATAACTTTAGATATTTTTGATTAGCTCGTTTACGCCGATTTCTTTTTAAATAATTCTGCTTTTTCTTATGGCCCTGTATTTACTTATGAGCACCAGTCAAGGTAAAAGATAACTGTCAAATGAAGTTGTCATTTCAGAAATTTACCTATTTAGTGCTTTATTATTATTGAAAACTCATTCCCACATCGGAAATTTTAAAGATGTATTTATAAATACAAATTAATATGAATTAAAGTAAAATAAAGTAATCAATTACAAGGTTAATTATAGTATTATTACAATATTCAATAACTTATTAATTTAGGTACTATTAAATTTTTAGAACCTTAGGATTTAAGGAGATGTTCAAATATTCCTCCATCGACTGCTAGACAATAACCCAGGCGATCATAAAATTCTCTTCTTACATTCGCTAGTTGGTAAACTGAAATTCTATTGCATTCGGCAGAAATAGAATATTTCAACTCGTCTAGATTTGGGTATTTTTTATCCTTGTATATCCTGTTTTTTAAATGGCCCCAGAGAGAGAAATCATTTGGCGAAATATCAGGAGACCTTGCTGGCCAATTTACTGTATGATTTAGGCCAATAACGTTTCCGTTAAAACTATTGTCTAAATATTCCCGACCAGGCAGGGTACTATGTGCCGGGCAGCCATTCATTTGGTACCAAACTTCCTGATTTCCCTAGCGGCATCATGTAAAGCAGGTAAAATATGATTTTCGAGTAGTTCCACATAATAATATGCATTTAAATTTCGCTTAAGAAATAATGGCCTGATAATATTGTGTCCGAATATCCCTGCCCAAACATTACTTTCTGTGGATATTGCGTCCTTGTTTCGACAAACCTGTGTTGGTTTTCTTTGTTCCAATATCGATAATTTTGAAGATAAAACATTATTTAAGGTAAACGTGCATTCGTCAGTGAAACATACGTTTTTTAAAAATTCCCTATCCGTGTTTGCTCTTTCCATCATATCAAAACAAAACGCCTACCGCCGTATTTCGTCCCCATCTCGTAGCTCTTGGTGCTTTTCATATTTGAAGGAATAGTATTTATCTCGTTTCAAAATTCGAAACGCTGTAGTGTGATCTATTCCTATTTCATCCTCAAGTTTCCTTGTGCTGATATTTCCATCGGTCTTTTTCAGGGTGCAGCCACACTATCCTAAAAACAGCGTATCGGCGTAACGGCGTAACGACCTTGAATCGATTTCCAGTAATTCTATTGGCTGAAATTTTTGACAATGATATTTATGACAGATAAAATTTCTGACACGATGAATGTTTCAGCTAATAAATTACTGGAAATCATCCCTCAAGTTTCCTTGTGCTGATATTTCCATCGTTCTCTTTCACGCACCACGAGATATTTTTTCCAAATAGTAGATACCGAGATATGAATTTTTCTTTCTAATAATAAGGAAAAAATAGAAAACTGAAAGGCGGAGGACTTTCCTATTAAAATTAAGAGCTCATACTTGAAGATAATTTTTTTGAGGTGTCTACCGACCTTTTTTTCAGGGTATAAAGTGAAAAAAAATAGTCGATTATTGTGACCCACCCTTATAATAGGTATATTAAAATTACCTGTAGAATTTCTCTTGTGGGAAATCTTTGGTGAATCCTACCCCTCCCATCCAGTCGATACATTTAACAGTGGTTTGTTGGGCTACTTCGGAGGCTATGTATTTGGCTATGGACGCTTCTTTAATGAAGGGCGCTCCTTGGTCCAGCAATCTGGCAGCGTTGTAGGTCAGCAATCGTGCCGCTTCAATTTGAGCGGCCACGTGGGCAATTTGGTGTTGCATTCCCTAGAAAATTAAAAAAACAATTTGTTAATAGTATTTTTCTTATTACGCAGTGAATTAAACTTCTTTACGCGTGCTGGGTGTAAAAATTCAAAGCTGTGATACACAAGCTAGCGAGACGAAAAGTGGTAAGGACTGCCCACGGCTTAGAAATACGTAGTGACGGGACGTGTATTTGTGAGCAGTCCACGTATTTATCAAAAATATTGGTATTTTAATTGGTTATTAATTTTTTATTTTACGCGAATAAAACTATTTGTTACACGTAAAAACTTTTTTAAACTTAAAAAACAATTTTTTTAGTCCCTGCAGTGGGAAAATCACTAGGCCCCTGCAGTGGGAAAATCACTAGGTCCCTGCAGTGGGAAGATCACTAGGACGCCGACGTGGGAAAATCACTAGGTCCCTGCAGTGGGTAAATCACTAGGTTCCTGCAGTAGGTATATCACTAGGTTCCTGCAGTGGGGAAATCACTAGATCCCTGCAGTGGGAAAGTCACTAGGCCCCGCAGCAGGAAAATCACTAGGTCCTACTGTGGTAAAATAACCTGGTCCCCCCAGTGAGGAAATCACTAGGTCTCTGCAGTGGGAAAATCACAAGGTCCCCGCAGTAGGAAAATCACTAGGACCCTGCAGTGAGAAAATCACCAGGTCCCCCCAGTGAGGAAATCACTAGGCCTCTGCAGTGGGAAAATCACAAGGTCCCCGCAGTAGGAAAATCACTACGTTCCTGTAGTGGGAAATCACTAGGACCCGCAGTGGGAAAATCACTAGGTAACCCAGTGAGAGAAAATCACCAGGTCCCTCCCAGAGGGAAAATCACCATGTCCCCTGCAGTGAGGAAATCACTAGGCTCCCATGCGGTGAGAAAATCACTAGGTCTCTGCAGTGGGAAAGTCACAAGGTCCCCGCAGTAGGTAAATCACTAGGCCCTGTTGTGGGAAAATCACTAGGTCCCGTGCAGTTGGAAAAATCACTCAGGTCCCCACCAGTGGGGAAAATCACTAGGTCCCTGCAGTGAGAAAATCACCAGGTCCCCCCTGTGGGCAAATCACTAGGTCCCCTGCAGTGAAAAAAAAATCACAAGGACCCCTGCAGTGGGAAAATCTCTGAGGCCCCTGCAGTGGGGAAAATGACTAGGACCCCCGGTGCAGTGGGAAAAAATGACTAGGGACCCCTGCAGTGGGAAAATCCCAAGGTCCCCTGCAGTAGGAAAATCACTAGGACCCTGCAGTGAGAAAATCACCAGGTCCCCCAGTGAGGAAATCACTAGGCCTCTGCAGTGGGGAAAATCACAAGGTCCCCACCCTGTGTAGTAGGAAAATCACTACGTTCCTGTAGTGGGAAATCACTAGGACCCGCAGTGGGAAAATCACTAGGTAGCCGCAGTGGGAAAATCACTAGGTCCCTGCAGAGAGAAAATTACCATGTCCTCCCAGTAGGGAAATCACTATGTCCCTGCAGTGAGAAAATCACTAGGCCCCCAGTGGGGAAATCACCAGGTCTCTGCAGTGGGAAAGTCACAAGGTCCCCGCAGTAGGTAAATCACTAGGGCCCTGTTGTGGGAAAATCACTAGGTCCCGCAGTTGGAAAATCACTAGGTCCCCGCAGTGGGAAAATCACTAGGTCCCTGCAGTGAGAAAATCACCAGGTCCCCCCTGTGGGGAAATCACTAGGTCCCTGCAGTGAAAAAATCACAAGGACCCCGCAGTGGGAAAATCTCGAGGCTCCGCAGGGGGAAAATGACTAGGACCCCGCAGTGGGAAAATCACTCGGTCCCTGCAGTGAGGTAATCACCAGGTCCCCCAATGGGGAAGTCACTAGGTCTCTGCAGTGGGAAAATCACAAGGTCCCCGCAGTAGGAAAATCACTGGGTCCCTGTAGTGGGAAAATCACTAGGTCCCTGCAGTGGGAAAATCACTAAGTCTCATTGCAAATATTATTTTCGTTTTAATTTACACACTCACAGCTAGAATTTTTTTGCATTACAGCCGGCGCGGCGCCGTTCAAAGCCTACTTATTTAAAGTGGACGCATTTTTATAAACTCTACCTTTCAAAGAGGAATCGAGCCAAATATCAAGCGTGCTATATTTTTGGAAAGGTAATTTTAAATTCCTTTCAATAAATTAAAAATATACAGTGTGTCCCATATAAAAAATCAATTTTTCTGTTGATAATTCTTAAATTATTAATTTAAAAAAAATTATACTTAATCCATTAAATTCTACGTAAAAAGGTGCTTTGGAAATGTTTTCATAAAAATACAACATTTTCCAAAGTAAAAAAGTTACAGCGATTTGTTAAAAAATTTGGCCCACCCTGTACAGTATCTTTTTTTCATAAAAAAGTAGCATATCTAGTAATGTGGAAACCGCATATTTGCATCTCCACTCATAAACGGAGAAACACTGTAAAGCACGCGAAAATGGGACGCTCTGTACTATTTTCAGATTATTATTTTATATCATTTACCTGAAAGTGGAATATAGGTGTCCCAAATTGCTGTCTTTCTAACGTGTAAGGAATGGTAGCATCGAAACATCCTTGAGCTAGACCTAACATTTGTGCCGCTATACCAATTCTACCTTCAATGTTAATACATCTAGGCAATTTTATAACTAAGATAAAAAGAGAAATTCAAAATGTTTAAAAAAAGTAGTAACATAGTTATTTACAAGTGAAAGGAACAGAACTAAATTAAAATAAATCTAAAAACAAAACGATTTAACGGTCTTCAGTTCAATTCGCCATAAATACTTCAAAGGTTTAAATAGTCCTGAACTTAAGTCAAGTCATTTTTCTGGTAAAGACTAGAATGAAATAAATAAAATAAATATAATTACCCTCAATACCTCACTATTAACCCTCAAGTCAAGACAACCAGAATTCAATAATTTAAGTATCTACCCCTTTTTAAATGTTTTAATATTAATTTTTTTTTTTTTTTTTTTTTTTTTTTTTCTTTCATTATATTATTAATTTATTGTAGAAGCAGATGAGACTAAACACATAAAATAAAACGGTTAATTTTAGACGCAGCTACAATAAACAAATATAAAAATAAAACGATATAAAACTTATTCAGTTAAGAAATAAATTAATTTTTATTCATTAAAAAATAGTTCTGCTAAATTGCTACAATGTTTATTTTCCTTACCCCTGTCCAAATTGACCCACGACATTAGATGCTGGAACTTTGACATCTTCAAATGTCAACATGCACGTGCCCGAAGCTACAATTCCAAGTTTGTCCTCCGGTTTGTTTATCGTAAATCCAGGAGTGTCCCTTTCCACAATGAAACAGGTTATACCTTTGTAGCCCTACAAAAAATAATATAATATCTTGATATTTAATGATTCTAACAAACACTTAGAGGTTTCAATCAAAAGTCCAAAGAATATACCAATCCAAAAAGTATTTGTGTCAGGCGTCCCCCAGTTCATATTTCAATTAATTAATCGAAAAATTAAAAAAAAAAATTTTTGGGATTTTTTCATTTTTTTTTAAAATAATTTAAGGATTTCAAATTTTACTAGAGTAACTTCAGGTATCGATAGAATACCGAAATATTGATAGTTTGTATTATAATCCATACTCCAAAAACGCTTCCAAACCAAACAACTTATTTTTTCTATTTATTATAGTTTATTAACCCAGTAATGGGCTACGCCCAATGCTTCCCGTTTAGCCAGCCATAGGTCATCGAGGGTACATCTGTGGGGGCACGCAGGACATTGAAGAAGATGTTCCATGTCCTGAAAGGCGCTGCAGTCGCATTTGTCGTCATTTCTGTCCAGCAGACCCCATTTGATCAGATTGTATTTTACTGGGGCCACCTCAGTTCTGATACGGTTGAAGTTTCCAGGTTTTCCAGTTGCTAGAAACACCATTTGGGAGGTTCATCCAGGGGTTGGCTTAGGAAACGGCGTTTGGATTTAAGTCTACCTGTTCCGCACTCTTTGACGAGCATCAAAGGTTTTTTTTTTTTTTAACTTCTCAGTATGTTCATGAACTTTCCTGCGTGAATCGGGGATTGTAAAACCTGCGGCTTTGTAAAGGTTTTCTAAGGGGGTGGGTTTCATACAACCTGTCACTTTTCTGCATGTTTCATTCAGACTGATTTTCACCTTTTTTGCATGGACAGATCCACACCACACTGGGCAGGCATATCAACAGTTGAGAAACATAGAGCTTGAGTAGAAGTTCTGACCACGGTAAGTTTGGCTCCCCATTTACTATTGGTCAGCTTCCTTATAAGGGAATTTCGTGCTTCTACTTTTTTGGCGTGTTTTTTCGCAGTGATATTGTAAGTTAATGTTCTGTCCAGCACGACGCCAAGATAGGTAGGCTTATCTGTGTGTTCTAGTAGTGTCCCGTCCCATGTAACATTAAGTCTGCGGGTGGCCTGTCTCGAATTAAGGTGGAATGCACTCACTTTAATTTTGGTGGGGTTGGTTTTAAAAGAATTCTTTTTTGTAATAGGTTGACATTGTTTTTAGGGCACTTTCTAGTTTCTCCTCGATATCTTCGAAACCTTTGCCTTCAACTGTTATTGCTAGGTTATCTGCATATGCAAACGTTCTAGTGTTATCTGAAATAGGTTGGTCATTTGTGTATATGTTGAAAATAATTGGTGCCAGCACGCTCTCTTGTGCCAACCCATTCTTCTGGTTTCGCCAACGACTCTTTTTGCCCTCGAGCGTCACGAAAACTGCCTGTTTTGGAGCAATGATTCGAGTATCTTGACTAGGTGGTAATTTTTCAAGGAATATGCAAGTAATATCTTGTGGGTTTTACCGTGTCATAGGCCCCGAACTTAGGTCCGACAGGGCCAGCCCTGAGTATGTGTTTATTTTCAAAACCCTCCTCGATATGTTCTGTCAAATCGAGGATTTGACTGGAGCAGGACTTTCCAGGTCTGAATCCTGCCTGTTGTGGAATCAGCTTTGAATCGACAGTCTTCTCTATTCTGTAGAGGATTAGTCTTTCGTAGAGCTTAAACAGATGGCAAAGGAGGGATATGGGTCGGTAGCTTTTTGGAGACTCTGGATCTTTTCCGGGTTTAGGGAGAGCTGACTACTTTTGACTTCCGCCACAGTTTTCGAATTTGAAAGGTTTCGCGACACATAACGCGTTGAAAGTTTTTAAGTAATCTCATTTTTTTTGGTTCCAGGCAACCGAAATTTTTGTCTGGTTCCACGCATGATATCGGTCAATCCCAAGCGGTTTTTCCCATTCTCAATGGGTATTGTATACATTGTTCAACTCTTCATGGTAAATATTTCTGAAAGTTTGGTGTTTTCAGTTTTGGTTTAGGGCGTTTTGATTTTTGGTTTTCTGGCGTTTGGAGTTGAATTTGCCATTTAGAAGGAGTTGGTTGGCCACTTGATTGAGTGTTACATTGGCAGGGGACTTGCTTAGTTTTTTGTTCCACCACCAGTTTTCTGATTGAGATTCCAAGCTATTTTACTACTATGAGACATGTCCATTCTATCCAGGGTTTCTATCCATTTCTTCTCACGTGACTCGCTGAGAGCTGTCATTAAAGCTGTTCCGCAGGTGATGGTTTGATCGCTGAATGGATCTTCCGCAAACAATTGTTCGTACTGCTCCAGGGTGTCCCTTGAGGCATTGGAGAGCTGGAATGTAATATTATCTGCAGCCCCTAGGAATATATCGTCTGGATATCTTTCGCAGGGACTCAACAAAGATGTGGTAGTTGCTTGGTGTTGGGGCCAAATTGGCTATTTCCTCATTCAGTACTTGGGAGTATTCTGGCCACCTGGCTTTCATAAAGTTGAATCTCCTACGGAAAGGTATTTTGGTTGTTTTGATTGTAGAGTAGACTTGGATTCCGATAGGTCGGTGTTGTGTCTTTGGAATTGCATTATATACATTTTTGCAACAGGTGTCATGGATGTTCCTACTGACAAAGCAATTATCGGGGTTATAACCTCGCTTCCAAATTTTGCTGTTGAAAAAAAAAAAAAAAAGAAGCAAGGGAAGCTTTGGATCGTGAAGTGAGAGGCCAACTCCAGTGACCGCCAGTGAGAGGAAAGACTAAGGAAGGGAAGCGATAAATGCTATCCATGTATTTCATGCAATGGTGGGCGGAAAAAGCACCATAAAAGCACTCTAGGGTGGGGATCCTTGACACATCCTTAACAGTTCTGTTTGAACGGTATTATTTGACACATTTGAAATTTGATTTGAAATTTTGTGGATTTGTCAGTCTTAACGGAGCTTATTTTATGTTATTTGTTATTTATTCTACTACTGATAGTTTGGTAATAAAGGTAGTAGAAATTTAGAATGGAAATTGTGGCAGAATAGAACTTAAATTAACAGTGACACTATCGCGTAATTATCGAAGGAAAGACTCCTAAAATAGTTGGTGTGTAGCGTGCGGTAGATCTCCGCAAAAATTGAGTGAAATAATGGAACAACTTTTTCGCTAGTAAGTGACTATATAATATACATACGTGTAGTAAACCGATCCAATTTAATGAAATTCATTAAATTAAATAAAATTATATATTTCATTGCATTTTAGCTTTTAATTTATTACTTGTCAAAAGATTAGATGTCAAAGAAATTATAAAATTAAGCGGTTAATTTGACTTACCTGATTCAGTAGCGTATCGGATGTTTGTGTTAATAAATACTTTATTATAACTTATCTATTTTTAAATAGAATTATATATT